TGCACTTGCACAAGCACATATACACATGCATACACTCACACAGATAATGCTGGGAAATTTTTCTTCTCCAACAGAGCAGCACTTGTCAGTCAGTTAGATGATTAGCAAGCTACCAAGCATAGATGTCCATGGAGAGGACAAGGTGGGTTAAACATGAGAAAGCGCATATTGGGGGGAAATGCATACTAGCCCACATTTCCTAAATAAGCATTAAACCATTTATTTTTATTTCATTATTCTTTTAGATTTTTACAGAAAGTGAAGCAAAAACAAATGCAAGAAACTTGCATTGAAACAATCTGAAGATTAGAATAACAATAATTATTTTAATGTTTGTACTTGTAAATCTTTTAATATCTCCTGTTCTATTATTCTGAATTTTAATATAAGAAATATATTCAGGGTGCTAGATTATATGTGCAACAGTTACTTATTCATAATCATTACAGAAATGTTTCTAATCTAAAGTTAATTAAGTTGAGCAGAAATATATTTGCATGAAATTAGTGTGAGGGAAAGGAACTAATTCTTAGGAATGATTGCAATATCTTCTAAAGTGTCTAAAGTATGTATAGACAATTTTGCAGTGTTAGATTCGGTACTGGCTGCTCACTGGTTGTACTGGGAAATCATGCATTAAGATGCACTTGCACAACCACATATACACACGCATACATTCACACAGATAATGCTGGGAAAACTTTCTTCTCCAACAGAACAGCACATATCATCAGTCAGTTAGATGATTAGCAAGCTACCAAACATAAGTGTCCATGGAGGGGACAAGGTGGGGTAAGGGACAAAATGTGCACTGCAGTGGTGCAATGCAATGCTCTTAGGTTGTAACACAGGTAAGAAAGTGAAAATCACTTCTCACCTGATTGCACTTTCTGTGCAAACAATATCCTTGAACCAATGTGTAATAGTTTCCATCTTAAGAAAGTGCCATCATCACAGAGTTTCTAACATGGGGCCAGAAAGTATCTTTAAGTTTCTCATCCATTTGCAGGGAAATACAAGTGTCATGAAGATGGTCCTCTTCACATTCCAATGAATCATGGGTTCAGCTTAGAAGTGTTGCCAGGGTATAATGAGACAAAGCAAACTAGTCTAAATGTAGTCACATTCCTGTACGTTGTTTGCACAGAAGGCATTATTAGATGAGTAGTGTATGCTTTTTATATTCTCAGGCCTCTTCACATTTTCAGAAGTGAATGATCAGGAGAGTACAAGAGATACATTACTTGGGATTTTTAAGCACATGCTGCATCTGTGTTTCTATCCAGCAACATTATAAGTGCCCTTCTTTCATTCTTAAAGAGCATAAGTTACTTCTATTACAACAAGACAATCTCAATGTACCTACAAAATCAGAAGTTATCTGAGAAGGAAATTGCTCTATATTGCTGTATAATTCCAAAGGAGTGAGTTTGTCAAGTCCTCTCATCAGAAAAACTTTTATAGGAACATGAGATCAGAGAGATCCAATGTGATATCAATAGTCCCATGAGGGCAATATTAATAGGAATTTCTTGGTTCAAAGTTTTGAAAGCAAGAGGCCCTGCATAAATCTAATGACTAGGAAAAATGGTATTGGCAATTAATATACAATTAATACAGACCACAGAAATAAATATAAATGCAGGATTGCATAAAGAGAATACCAAAGTAAATAAAGTACACAGAGTATGCCTAAAATACCATATCAGTTTTATTCTCCAAAGCCAATAACCCACCCCAAAGCCAATAATCCATCCACTGAAAGCCAAGGAAGAAAAGCCTTTATAAAATCCTCAATGATTTGGACAAGTATGGTCTATATTCTTCTAGTCAGAGGCAATGATTTTATGTTTCATAGCTCAAAAGGTTGCAAAGAACATGGCAGTAATGTAACAACTTCACTGGGGCTGAAATGTTTGCCTTTTGAAGGTTGTCAGATCTTCAAAATAGGCTAGGTCTGGAAATAGATTCCACAAGAAATATTGGAACTCCGCTCTATTGATATAGGCTATAGTAACATAATCTTGAAAGTGTTTTCCCTTTCCTCCACATTATACCAAAGAGTCACGATGAAGTCACTTTAGTGCCTTCTTCCTTTCCTGGACTTAATTTATATTTTGCTAAGCACTACATTCCTTCTCCAAGGTCATCTCTGCAGTTCTATACACAGGGGAATATATGGGGGGAGCTGGAGGGTTGTTTAAGGTAAAATAGGCCCATTAAGGATGGGGCCTTGTGGAAGATTGAACTCACCACCTAGAGTGAGCAAGCATTTCTCTTTCCCTCCTGGGATCCTGAGCCCTGGGGCTACCTGGGAAGGGTTAAAACAGTCCCGCCCCCTTCTTAATTGGAGACTATGTCCCATAAAATGGACCAGATATCAAGCATGTATGCCAGTTGGCGAAAAAGGAGTCAAGCCAGGAAAACAGGAGAGAAATGGGGGAAAGGCCTCCAACACAAAGACAAGCAACAGAGGGGGG